CCCCAAAACCCCAAAACCCCAAAACCCCAAAACCCCTTATTAGGTTTTCCAGATTGAAGATGGAAGATGGAAGGATTTTGTACTTCCCAAGTATTTACACATTTGTAAATTTACTCTTTTCTAGGTTAGAAAAGCAGTCTTAGTAAAAACATGAAATTGGTCAGAATTTAGTGCCCCTTGGCATCCTCAGAAGCAAGCCTAAGGCTACGGAGTTTAGTAAAATATTAGAGATGGCGATATTTTATGGAAAAATTCAATCTATCTACTAATACGATGAAGAGCTGCTTGTGGGAAACTCTTTCCCCTTGATTAGAGGTGTTATCATGATGAAAATAAATGTATTATAATATCTACAAAGATGACTTATCAAATTGTTTGAAATGATTCTGAAAATACCATTAAACTTCTTTGCCTAACATTACGAGAAATAAGTCAAGCCTAGATATCAGTTTATCAGAAATTATGAAGACAAGCATTGTATAACCCTCGTTCTCACTGAGAAAACATGAAATATGCAATTAATGAGCACATTTTGTCATGCTCAATTCATAAGCAACGATATAGCTTGAGGTTGAACTATCTGTTCATCTCCTTTCAGTTTGTCAAATCTTTTCGTTGTTAAGAGAAAGTAATAACTTTAATATTTAATATCGAGAAAATAATTTTTTCTTTTGTATCTACCATTTGAGTTATAGATAAGAAAAGAGAAGAGAGCTATCGATTTGGCTGGTCAAGTTTAAACAACTTATCTGATTTAGTAGCTCAACAAGGTTCGACAGATTCGGGATACAAACAAAGTGGCAAAACAAGTCATTAGATCCTAAAACATTTTCCAAGGAAGTAGCCAAGCTATACAGAAGGCTAAGGTTTAATTTAGGTGATCTCCTTTGTATCATCGACTGCTTCCCTGCACCAATAATGTACTTGCAAGAATCCTTGTTGTTGTGAAGATCCACCCTCAGACTAGGTGAAAACCTAAATCTAATTCCTTCTAATACCTTACCTAATTTAGTTATTTGCATATCTTTTGTCATAAAAGTAGCTTCCATGTTGGTTTTACACAACTTCAAATTTGAAGAAATATTCTATGCTCCATATCAGAAATTAAGAAGATCTCAGTAATATGCTAAAACCATTCTAACTAGTAAAAATATATTCTATGATATGTCAAGGTTCGAAGTCTACTGAAACCGCCAGTCGTATTATGTTGTAAAAGACGTGCTAATTTATTTGTTCTAGAAGAAATTTGTAGTTCGAAATCTTTTGAAAGTATTTTCTCAGTAATTTAAAGTTATTCAATTTAAAATTTGGCAAATTTTCTTTGTTCAAAGACTTCTGCTGCTATCTAATTTATTGTTTTGCAAAACCTTAAACATAGCACTTTTCAAGTGAAAGAAATTATTCCAAATGTAGTTTCCTCAAAGAAAATTTTCAGGGCAGAAAAATAGCTAAACGATTTCAGTCTTAATCTGCTATATCCTTCAAATTCTCAGAGATTGGAAGCATTTTATGCCAGATAATAGTGCTCTAAGGTCTTCAGATTATGTATATTTGCAGCAAGTGGCTTCTTATTTTTTTTAGACTTATCTAAATTTTACCTTGATGAATGTTTTAAAGAAAAGTAATAATATCAGATAAGTTCTCTATACAACTAGACTCTTCAGTAAAAAAGTAACTTTCTATTAAATTTTCTGGACATATTCATAACCCAAGGATAGAAAATTTTAACTTAAAAAGATACAAATTCAGCCAAAATTTGGCCAAGATGTTTGAAATATTAGCATAAGTTTTAGCAAAAACCTTATAGATAAGTATAAAATTTGGTATTCAGAGATCTTTCAGTTATTAACATCATTCCGGTGACAGTTAATATTATGAGTCACCACCTAAGTTACAATTATTAATATATTTCCTCTCCCACGAAGCTACAGGATGCGAAAATTTACAGTTTTGTAGACCAGCTTTCTGCCTACTTAATTTAGTATTTCCTTTACCACGATGCCAAATGTTTGTTTTTAAAATTAATAAAAATATTTGAAAATTCCTATGCCTCCTCAATATCCGATTTGAACTCTCTAGATAGCAAAAAATATGAAATTTGTGTCATCATGAAGAGATAATTTTGAATCAGAAAGACCAGAGGTACAAAACTTAGCAATTTTTATTTAAATAGAAGTCAAATGCAGTTAATAGGGTGTCGTTCGAGCTGGTCAACACAAAATTTATTAAGAAATGTTATTAGTTGAAGGTCGGTTGCTATAATGTGAGTTCTCACAAATTTTTGATAGAGAAAGATTATTTTTATTCAAGACACAAGTCTGAAAAGTTATAGCATTTTGCATTGGTTTTAGGCATGATCTCCCCTCTAGAGGATTCAGGCAGCAAAGAAAACTTCCAATTATTTAGCATATTTATAGTCTTCTCTATTGCTAAAGCTCAGAAGATGGCTATTTAAAGAAGAAACATCCATAAAAGTGCTATAATTTGCGATCTTTTGCAAAAACATTGATAGATTCTTGCTCCTCGATTCTAAAAATATTTATTAGATAATCAACTTTTGATGAAAATAGGTAAGTTAATTGTACATATCCAAGTCTGGAAGATGAGTAATAGCCAGAGTTCTTTCAACAAATAATTTATCTAATATTTTTCGATTAAAAGACATCTCTTTTCATATTTCGTTGAGCCAATTTCCCTTAGTAATCTGCTCCAAAATATTCAATAACTTAGATATTTCAGTGAAGTTCTAACATTTTTATTACTATAAACTCAAGTTTAAACTATTTCATAATTTCGATATATTTTAGCAACTAAATTTGGAGAAAACAGTATGAAAATAGAAGAAATATCTTATTTATAGGCTTCCTATAGCTTATAAAACTTGAAGAAATTAACATTTGGGGATAATACTTTCTTTGATCCTTTCTAGCTTACATAAATAAGAAAGGAGGGATGTCTAAAAGGAGGTAGAGTAAGCCCTAAAATTCTTTACTTATTGTTCATTTACCCAGGGAATACTGATGCTCCACTCATGCTCACCTGTCAACTTGATGTATAATATCATATCCTCAATTCACTAGAAATGAAATCAGTACGGATTTGAGCTTTTAAAGAGGTAAACATTATTGAAGAGAATGGGAAGGTCAGTAAATTCCAAAATGGTATAATAAGATACACAAGCACTCTATATAATATAAATAAACTCTCTCTGATGTTACCTCCTTTAGGATAGTAGGCTACCTTAATTTTTCTTACTTAATTATAAATTTTCACCTATCTTGGCTAATTTTATAGTAAACTTGGAAAACCTTGGCATTTTCGTTGAAATTTATAAATAGTGTTGAGAAATGACCAGGATGATAGTACAAGATATTTGAATTTAATTAGGACATAAAAGTTATTAGCTAAGGCCACTAGAGATCTTGCATCGTCACAAATATGTCCTCATTTACTGGAACCTGATTCGGAATAGAAGCCAGATTCATGTTATTCCAAGTCTCATCCATTTCTCCTTTTCTTTTGAAGATATTCTTGAATGGAGAGTTGGCATTTGCTTTATCTTTTCAAGAAGCATATCTTTTAGTGCCTTTAAAATCTAGATTTGGCTTGAGCGATTTAGGGTTCTCACTCTCTGAAGCTTTTCTTTGTAAGACCAAATGCTGAAGAAGTTGCTTTATATCCCTTGAAATGTTTCCTTTTCTTCCAGAAGTGTGCATAATGTCTGAATGCCTATTTTCAGGTTCCTTCTTTCAATCAATTTTAGGGAAAAAGGGAAGAAAAGAAGATACTCTTTTTGTCTTTGATATACTAAAAAAGGAGACATCTTCCTTAACTAAACTTAGATTAGCATCCTTCTTTCCTCAGAAGGATCTATTAGGAGGTGAGAAGAGTGTCCTTCTATCTTGGTCAACAACATTTCCTTTATCCTTCAAAGGACTATGACCCATCTTTCCCTCAGTTGAGTCCTTCCTTAGTGCTTGAATTTTCTTAGTGCAGACATGGCTCGGTGTCTCTGACACATCATCACAGTCACAGATCAATTCTTGTTTTTCCCAAAAGCTTCGTGAATCCATATTAATTATTTTCTAATTATTTATATAAGAAAGGCATCAATACTTATACTCCTCTGCGGGGTTTTGGGGTTTTGGGGTTTTGGGGTTTTGGGGTTTTGGGG